GGAAGAGAGAGAGAGAGAGAGAGAGAGAAGGGGGGGAGGAAGAAGTTCTTCGCTTTGGCATCTTGAAGTTACGACATCCAATCTTAAACTCTCGAAGCTCCAGTTGCGGAAACTGCCGCAGAATTTCTTCTCTCGCGGTCCAGGGACACGAGACTTTGGCGAAAGAAACTTGAAACGCGACGATCGTAAGAGGTGTTTCGAAATGTTTGTTGTATGTATCGGCTAGTTTTGGGGGAGTAACCGATTTTAACCTTTAAAAGTTTGACAGAAGAGGCGGGATCGAGAGAGGATTTTTAATGGGTTCGAAAAAATTGACGGAATTTTTTTTTTATGAAAAAAAAAAATTGATGGGATTGCAGATTTTTATACGTTTATGAAAAATTTAAATGCGCAAAAAATTTGCGGGATATCACATTGCATATAATATTCAAAAAATATATAGGTTATCCCGGATGAAGGGAGCAGGTTAAATATTTTTACATTTCAAATAAAAATTTACTTTTTATTTCATTCCGTATAATTACTATTTTTTATCCTTTTCATTCGTTATCTCTTCTATTTCAAACAACAATCCTGTCCAATGCAAAAAGATAAACAACCAAAAAACAAAATCCCAACAAACTCGAGAACCCTTTCCCTATCTCCCGTTATCGAGAACACGATAAAAGAGGCGCGACCTCGCCGAAGGGGGTGGTCGGAGGGAGCGATACGAGCGGATTCAATGTGTTCGTTAATCCGTTCCGCTTAATGCAACGACAGGGGAATGCAGGATCCCGGTATATACATCGAAACCATGAGGGTTGAAGCCTCGCTTCCCCGTCGTCGACACTGACCGCTGGGGGTAATTACCGTGCCCGATGAAAAGCTCTCACGCTCAAACCCTTTCTCGACTAAGCCGGGATACGATCAGTCAGGCGTCGATCCCGGCCTTTAAGGTGACCCCTGGCCATCGAGCCGAGTGTGTCCAGTGCCAATAACCGGTCGTTTTTCTGCAAACGATCTCGACACGTATGCGTACATACCTCTGTGCCTCGTTCCCCACTCATTTCGACTCGGTCCAGGGGTGCTTACTTAGTTGGTTCGAAGATATAAGGGAAGGAAAGGAGGAAGAAAGTGGGCCCTTATAACAGTGGCCTGGTTCAAATCATGGAACGAGGTCAACCGTGGAACAACTGTGAAATACGGATATCGATTTTTTCCTTGTTTCGGTGCATGTTCGACATATAGGCATGGACAATTGGTTCGGACGAATTGGATAATTATCTTGCGTGATTGAGTGCGAATTTTTTTGGTTAATTTTTTTAAAGAAAAAAATCTATTAAAGAAAAGAATAATGAATGACAATTATGAAACTCGTATTTTATGATAATTTAAATAATTATTGTACGTTTGAAATAAAGATTGAGAATATATTAAAAGATTTTTATCTATCTTAAAAATGAAAAAATATATATAAAGATAAAATATAAATATAAATATTCGTTAAAGAAATAGAACAAAAGTAATCGATAAATTATAGTAATCAAATTTAAATTTATGTAATTCTAAAAGCAATCGATAAAATTACAGAACAGGTAAGTGCGAGTACAGTTGGTAAAATACCAACGAAGTGTAAGTAGTTTCGTTTCGAATTCGTTTAGAATTTTCATAATTAAAAAAATTTACGCTTATTATTGAAATAAATAAAAATATTTCCAAAAGGATTTTACTGGAAAAAAATTAAAGTTAGAAAATAACGTTTTTACAGTTATCAAGAATATTAAAATATATTACTAACAAAAAGTAACTTATCAAATTTATATTATATCATCAAACATTTTTTTTCACTATTTAACTATGATCATAACTTGATAAAATTATTGATTTGTTTCAATTCTGAACAAATTATATTTTTACAATTATTTCATTATTTTTCTTTATCAATGATGTATTAAGGAAATAAAGACTAAAAGATTATAGCATATACAAAAATATTCTAATTAAACAAAATATTATGAATAATAATAATAATTCTAAAATGTGTAATCATTTTAGAATTCTAATAACACATAGAGAAAATATCATTAAAAATAGCTACGATACAACACGATATAAAAATATAAGGGAATGTAAATAATTAGAGCGTAGAAGGTAGCAACGATGTTTAAAATTCATGTGCCTATTGACCTTAGAGTAGGTCAATCAAAGAGCGTATCTACGAAGTATAGTGATTACTCGTGTCAAGAGCAATTATCAAAAGAATGTATAATACCGACATACTCAATAACTAGAGGTGCATGGCTGAGCATAATTAAATCTAATCACATTCAAATTTTATTAATAATTTTAGGTTTTATTATAATTTCTTTCTTCAACCAATTGAGCTATAATTAATATCTCCATAACAGTTCTATTTTAATAAATTGTACATTTTATAGTGATTTAATAATGAAAGTAATCAAAAAATTAAATTCGATGAAATTCTATTTTAATCTGTGAAATAAGATTTTTATAAAATCTTTTTTAAATTTGGATTTTAGTCTTAACAACTCATAATACTATTTGAATATACAATTGTTAAAATAGATTTAAAATTCTATTTCTTTTTCTATACATTAATGTTTACTAAATTGTTTTTTATATGTAATTAAATCTGTAAAATTGTACAAATTTTTTATATCAAAACAAAATATTAAGATTTTGCTTTTTTATAATTTTTTATAAAGTAATTTTAGAAGTATTATTTTTTATAAAGTAAAAAATAATAACACTATAACTTCACATAAAATTTTATATGAATTATTTCTTATATTTACATAATTATTTTATATTTTATATTTTTTTACAATTTAATCATCACTATCCATATCTTCAATTGCTGAAGAATCTTCGTCTTGTTCTTTACGATCCCAATCTTTTAATTTTGTTCCCATTACAAAATCTTCTCTTAACACGCTCCAAGTTTCTTTATCTTTTTTCTTTTCAAGTTTTTTATTTTCTTGCTCTTCATTTTTTACATCATTATCTACTGAAATACTTTTACTTCCTCCCATAAGAACATCCAAAAATTTAGTCTTATCAATACTTCTTAATACTTGTTCACGTTTCCTTTCTAATGGACCAGCTTCAGATAATTTTTTATTAATTTCACCTTGCTGTTGTTTAACAGCATTGAATAATTGTACTACACCTTTTGTAGCAATTTTTTGTAATGTTCTCTCACGTTCTCTATCCATTATACTTGGTTTTACTCTAATACCTAACTTTTTTTCCTTTGGTTTTTTAACAACATCTTCTTCTTCTTTTATTTCTTTTACTTCTTCTTTTACTTTCTCAATATCAAATAGTGAACTTTCTTTATCTTCTTTCTCTTTTGTATCACATAACTTTTTCGCTTTTGATAAAACTATTGTCTTTTTACGTTTTGGCTTTTTTGTTTGTAGAATTTTACGCATAGCATCTGCCCATCCTGAATTTCCTCCGGCATCACTTTTAATGTCATCTTCAAATTCTTTTTCTATATGCATTTTTCTAAGATTTATACAAAAACTTTAATTACTCAACTTTAATTATTCAATTTCATATATTCATTCAAAAAATATTTCTATCTAATTCTTACAACATTTAAAATATAGAAAGTGAATTAAATAATATTCATAATTAATAATTAAGACGAATAATGATTTTAAATCATGATTTAAAATATAATTTACATAGGTTATGTAGAAACAAAAATATTTTTTATGTAAATTCTGAATACAACCTTTGATTTTTTCGATAATATTAAGATGTTTGTTATAGTATTGATCACACACTCTTTACTTGATTGAAAAATTAAAAAATATACAATACTAAAATATTTTAATTATGAAAAAAAAGAATTCAATCATTAGATATATGGACATGTGGCGACATCTTTCGTACAATTTCATAAGAAAGAAGAAATATTCACGTCAAAAAAGAAGTGCCATCTTTGGAGTATATTTTAAAGTTTACGAAACATGGAAGCGTTATAATCATTTATCATCAGAGATTCTATACAATTTTAATTATTAATGCAACATAGAATAAAACTATAATATTGGTGATGATTGAAATTGAAATTAAATTTTTTAATGTATAATCATAATAAGGTATATGGCAGAATATTCTATAATTTTGTAATCCTATGTTATAAAATGAGATATACAGGATGACATGATATCTTACAGATTTTTATGTCACATGTTTTAAAATATCGATTTGGAAAAAAGCAGAATCCTTCTTATGCTGCAATTTACTATGGTTGATACAGAAATTATATTTATTTTATCTTGAATTATATATATATATAATAAAATTATATATATATATAATGAAAAGATTCACGAGATCTATTTATTTATTTATACGAGATATATTTATTTATATTTTTTTTATCCAAAAATTTATTTGAAATCAATGATTCTTTTTGATGTAAGTTTGCAAAACATTTGATTTTTTATCATTTTATATAACAAATAATAAAAGAAAACTGAGCAATAAGATAAATTTAAATATAATAATTATATTATATCAATTTCATATAATTCTATATATAAAACACAAACATACGTATATCAATACGTTATACATCCATTATTATGAAAATATAAAATATTGATAATTATGAAATTAATGAACCAAGAAAAAATTATACAATTATATTATATAATTTGCATTCTACAATTACATTTATTATAATGACCATTTTTAAAATCAATGCTACAACCATTGCTATCATTTATTATGTATGTACTTATAAATATATTTTACATTAAACAATATTTCTAAAGGAACAATTCTATAAATCATTTATTTATACTCTAAAAAAACTTTTATTTAGAAAAATGAATCTTTGAATTTAATTAAATTCAAAAATATTTTAATTAAAAATGTAATATAATTATTATATTAGCTTTAAAAAAGTTTCATAAAGATTATATAATTCTTTAATAGTCTCTTTCTATATACCTAAATGCTCAAATTAATCCCTTATAGATTTAAAAAAAATGATAATTTTCTATATAACAATTTAAAGATTAATTTAGAAAGCTTACTTATAAAAAAATCTTAAAATTGAAGTTATATAAAAATATAAATATGCTTTATTGTTCCACATTAATTTTTTAAATAGATTAAACTACAAGGGTAATAAAATTCCAAAATATGTAATTATAATATATAATTATGGAATTTTACTATTTAATAATTGGTAAAAGACTTAAATACTATATTTTCTTCAAATATATAACTAATGCTTTTTAAGAATTAATATATAAAACAAGATGAAATATGTACTTACTTAGGAGATTAATATAATAATTAAAAAAAAAATTTATGGTTTGAAATAATATAAAAAAATAAATTTTATGATGAACATTCATCATTGATTCTAAAAAAATAAAAATTCAGCATTTTAAATGATTTGAAAAAAAGATATATTAACAATATTTTCTGTAATAAATTATCGCGCAAAAATGTAAAAAAGAAATACAACGATTATTAAATTAAAAATCTTCCACTTGATAAATCCGAACAACAAACTATAAGTAGAAATTTTATTGTAATACTAATAAATTAATATTTTTTTTATAAAATGAAAATATTTTTAAATCAACTATGAATACTTTATTATACAGAAAACTATTACACATCTCAAGAAAAAATGGAACTTTTAATCATCATGAATATCGATAGCATAATGAGACGACATACGTGTTATAATTTCGATTATGGAATCACAAATTGAGGAGAGAAAATGCGAAAATTTGGCAACAAATCGAAATATGTTTCGAAATATATCGAGTTTGATGATAATTTGTCCGAATGGAAATTAAAATCGTGAAACAAACGTATTAAAAAAGTACATATATTAAAGTAAAGCAACAAGTGAATTCAAATCTCAACGAACTATGTAACCTCATCGTCGATAGAAAAAGAAACAACTCAAAACACTAATTAATTTTGTTATTACAATAATAAGCGAATTATTAAATAAACAAATATGATAATAACTTATAAATTTAACAATAAAATATGAATATAATTACTTACTGCGTAATCGAATCACCGAAGCCGGTTACGAGCACGCGTCCCACCACAATGACTTTCCACAGGTGACTGACGCGCGCGCACAGCTCGAATAGAAAAACTTTCTGATTGGTTGACATTGTAAACGATTCTACAATCGAAATTAATTTATTGTATTATATATTTTAATTATTATAATTAAAATAAATATATATTCAAATAGATTTTTAATTTATTTATATATTATTAAATTTCAAATTATTTATTTATTACTTATTTAATTTTTATATTTTTATTTCGTTCTATATTTATAATTTATTTATTTATTGATTTATTTATCGATTATCGATTTATCATCGATTTATTCATTTCTGTAATAATTTATTTCTATATCTTTTTATACATATTTTTATTTTGTCTTTGTTTTTGTATCAATTTATTTACTTATTCGTGTATACCTTCATTTATTTTTCTATTTATTTTTTCTTTATTCATTTGGAATATTTATTTTTTGATTTATTTATTCATTTTTTTCTTTATGATCTAATTATTTATTCGTTTATTTGGTGATCTTATCCATTTATTTATTAAAGTACTTATTTCTTATTTCTTTAAATAAATATAGATATTTTATAATTTTTATAAAAATAGGAATTAATTTAAAATACATTAAGAAAAAATTAAATAATTTATTATATTTAATGAATGTAATTGAAATAATAATTTCACTATAAAATATATATTTTCATACGTACAATATATCTAGTGATTAATTACTAGTAATAGAAAAAAGATTATTAGAAAAATTTGTAAAATATAAAAATAAAATTCAAAACAAAAAAGAATTTAAAAATGACTATAATTTACAATATATAAATAAATTACTGCAGAAATTAATAAATCGATTTAACAATCGATAAATCGATAATGAATTATAAATATAGAATGAAATATAAATATAAAAATTAAATAAGTAATAAATAAATAATTTGAAATTTATTAATATATAAATAAATTAAAAATCTATTTGAATATATATTTATTTTAATTATAATAATTAAAATATATAATACAATAAATTAATTTCGATTGTAGAATCGTTTACAATGTCAACCAATCAGAAAGTTTTCTATTCGAGCTGTGCGCGCGCGTCGTCAGTCACCTGTGGAAAGTCATTGTGATGGGACGCGTGCTCGTAACCGGCTTCGGTGATTCGATTACGCAGTAAGTAATTATATTCATATTTTATTGTTAAATTTATAAATTATTATCATATTTGTTTATTTAATAATTCGCTCATTATTGTAATAACAAAATTAATTAGTGTTTTGAGTTGTTTCTTTTTCTATCGACGATGAGGTTACATAGTTCGTTGAGATTTGAATTCACTTGTTGCTTTACTTTAATATATGTACTTTTTTAATACGTTTGTTTCACGATTTTAATTTCCATTCGGGCAAATTATCATCAAACTCGACATATTTCGAAACATATTTCAATTTGTTGCCAAATTTTCGTGCATTTTCTCTCCTGAATTCGTGATTTCGATAATCGAAATTATAACACGTATATCGTCTCATTGTGCTATCGATATTTATGATGATTAGAACTTTCATTTTTTCTTTAGATGTGTAATAATTTGCTAATGCATATATATTTCTTTTCAATAATTATTATTCGTATATTCAATCAAAACTTTTTTATTAATATTATTTGTTATTATTAATTTTTAAATTATAATTAATAATCTTTCGAAAGTTAAATTATTGTTTTTTTTTATTCATTTATTTTCCGGTTAATTCATAAGCTAATGAATAGTTCATACTTTGATTTTTTAAGGTAGAATTTTTAGTTGATTATTCTTTTATTTTTATATAATCGATTAATACATTTTATATATTTTATACACTTATTTAAAAAATTTTTATTTTCTTTTGTATAGATTATAATTTTATTATCTTCTTCAACTTCAAAGACAAGAAAAATTCCAATATGGACGTCAACGAATTTTTTTAAAAAGAAGTTTGATTCTATATGTATGTATGTATTTATTTTGTTTTTATCCTATGATTTTTATATGATTTATTTTATTATATCAGCTTATATTTATTCAATTATAATGAATATTCTCAAAATTTATATTAATATTTCTTAATCTTTTAAATAATAATCTTAAAAATATATATTTTATTTTCTTATATATGAAATTCTTTTATTCATAAAATTTATTAGTTTGTAATTTTGATTTAAAAAAATGGTAATATTTTCAGAAACAAAAATTAAATAGAAAAAAGAAGAAAACTATGGAAAGAATATTTTGCTTCTTTTCTATAGATCCTGTTTTTCTCAATTACTAATACAGTATTATTTACAATGGAGTTTTATGACCGTGTGTAATGCGGTTGTACATTCAGTGTTTGCTCCGTAACAGTTTTTTAATATTTTAGAGCATAATAGTTTTAATTAAATTCATTATAGTCGCGAAATTAGAGTCAGTGCCTGTTTGCCGATTGTAAATTAAATAATCGCGTTAATAGTTTTTTATATATTTTTTTTAAATATTCATTTTATCACTAGAAGATAGAATAAATGCTTCTCAAAAGAATAAAGCAATCATTATGCGAAGAGGTAATTATTTTTATATATTTTCTATTAATCAATTTTGTGTTTAAATTATGATATTTCATGATTCTTATAGGTTTTATATTTTCTTATAGGTTTTATTTCTTCATACATGATAAGTTATTAATGATAATTATTTCGCAATGACATCCTATGGATTATTGATGCAGATTCTTCGCATCCATCGGTGAGTCGCATGCATTTATGTTCCTCTAGTTACTCATGTCGTAAGATGAAAGATCTGATTCGACACGGGTGACTGGTTGTATACATAGATTTTTGAGATAGATTGACGAGCACAGTGACCATGGGTATTTATTTATAATATACCCATGAGTAATAATATTTATTTGTGTGTTTTTTTATTTAGTTTAGGCTAGGGTCTTCTTGCGCTTTTACGGGTTTTATTATTAATTATTATAATATTAACTTAATTTTCTAATATGCATATAATATCAATATAATATAATAACTAGTTTGAATTTTTATAATTGAAAATTATAGAATTAAAATAAGAATAAATGATATTATAATGATAATATTTACAATATTTAATATTAAAATAATTTGAATTTAGTAGTCGGAAGAAGTCGGATATCCTCCGACTTTGTTGTAATTATATGTACAGTGATTTTAAAAATATATATATATATATATTATCATTAATTCGATAATAAGTTATTTTTATTTCTTTTATTAATAATAACAAGTTATTCGTAATTTTCGTTTAATATAATTTAACATCTGTAGGCAGTTCAATTTTCTCCGTACAAATATGAATTAAATTTTATACGCAAGAAGACATTTCGCGATAGATAGATTTCAGAATCAGAGCAATAAATTTTGATCATTATTCTTTTGTCTTCGAATACATGCTCTGATGAAGGAATCGTCTAAGGATTAATCTCCATTAATATTTACTTTCTAAATAAATAAATTTCTTTCGTTCATTATGCTAAAAGTTTAATAATTTATTAATCTAATACAGTAAAATATAAAGTAAAGTCATAAATAATTTGAAATATATTAAGAATATAATACAAAGTTGAGTTGAATATTAGCCCGTTAAAAAATATTTATATTAATCTATCTTTCTAGCTCAGGATTTTCAGGTTTAACCCTTTCCATGTCCATTGCCAGGATCTCACTCACGTGCCCAGGTGCTACTTGAATGAGAGAGAGGCAATGGGCATGATGACCTTAGCTCATAAGTTTTTAATAATTTCTCAGCGATTGACGATGCATTAGCGTATCGTGCACGACGTATTTTCCACATTGCGTGTATGTGTGTGTGTGGTTAGACTGTGGAATTGCGTCGTTTCGTCTAACATTTCATATAATTTAATTCGAGATATTGAAAATATTCTCATTATAAATTCATACATACGAAATTATAATTTTTATTTTTAAATTGGTATCAAATTTCATGACATTTTATAAATAATATAATTTTTTTTTCATATCTTTTCGTTAATAAATATTCACAATTAAAATTAAAGATACGTATTTTCATCGTGTTTCACGCAAAGGTCGTTAGCCATCGTCAGTCGATTTCAGGAAATTGGTACGTATACTTAGACTGTGAATGTAGAGTGTGCCAAGCTCGGGTGTCGGAAGCGTCCCGGGACGTTTTCCCTAGTGTAGGCTCTTGCGCCCGAGTATCATGCGTGAGAATCGTGGAACGAATGTGTTGGTATGCCTGTTTTGCCATTTTTTTAAATACAGGGTTAGGTAGGATAGGTAGTGTACTTTCTGGTGTGTGTGTGTGTTAATTATAAGTAGGCAGGGCCGGGCAGATTGTCACAGTCTCTGATCGGGTAGGCGCGTTTTCGCGTGACAATCAGTTTCTGGAAACATAATTTGAAAAATCGAGAGTGAAGTTGAGACGAGTGATCATCGATGTCATTTGTTTCTGGCTTCACTTACATATTGATTTTTCGAATTTCGCGCTCGAAACGAAACGTTGCGCTCGAGATTGTGCGCATGCGTAAACTATGGTCATAGTGGCCATTGGTCATCCATGTGCATTCAACTTGCGTGGTTTAGTTTTTTTTTTATTTGCGACTAGGGAATCTCGAGCCTAGTTATAAGTTTCAGCGAGCATTGCGCTCGAAGAAAGAAGACGAAGAGGCCCGACAAACTGTCGCGAAGAGGGCTGCAACGAATGGCTTCTCATTTTTTGAATCTTTTTCGAGTTCAAAGAATGGGAAATCATTGTTATTACTTTGTCACTGTGCTCGTTTTAGAATATATAGTAATATTAGTATTACTTGCATGTGTTGTGATTTTTTGATACTTATTTCGGCTCATTATATAGTCGTCATGGGCAAATGGACAAATCGCGGTTTTTAATATTGCAACAAATAAATTAGATTAAAATTTGCATTAGAAAAATAATAGCTTCATTGCAATTGTTGCATTTTATGCGATATCGCGATTTTAGTATTTAGATTATTTAATATTTTAATAAAAAATTTCGTAAAAAGTTGTCGTAAAAAGTCATTTTAAGAGTTAGTGTTGCGTTAAAAATTAATTAAAAATCGGTTTTTTTTTTTGTAAAAAGTAGTTTTACGTTTATAAAATGTCCAAAATACTGATGTTGTGGAAATTTATCTTGTTTTTGAATCACTTAGTGCAGCAATAAGAACTGCAAAAAGATGATTCTTCCAATCTTTTTTGGATTATTTTTTTCAGCATCCCTTAATATTGGAGCATTCATTAATTAAAATATTGTTAAAAATGTTGTTTTTGTTCTTGTAAAAATTTTTTAATTCTTGTATTATTTAATTATTATATTACAACAGAATATTAATTTATTTAATATAAAATAAAAATTGGAGAATCAGCACCATCTCCAGTGTGGCAAGTAAAATACAAACATAGATAGAAAAAGTAAATAATGAGAGAATAGAGGGTAAAAATTGATTGGTAGCGCCATCTGTTGCATTATAAAATTTCTTCAAAGGATAATATAGAATAAGAATTAAGCATCAGCGTCATCTCTCGAGTATTCTACCTTATCTTGGAGAGATGCGTTTGATAGTCGAGAGATGGCGATAAAGATTAATTCTTACTTTATTTCTATCTTTCTCCTATTATTTACTCTCCTTACGTTATGTTTTATCTGCAATTTTAGAGATGGCGTTGATTCTACAATTTTTAAGTCATCTTCATCTTTCTTCCATTATTTATTTATTTATTATTATATTTACTTAATTTATTTATTTATACATATTACATTTGAAGTATAGTACAGAAAAGATATATGATATTAATTGGACCGTCATACGAATAATAAATACAAAACCATGAAATTATCATATCATCAGTTTCTTCAATTATTTAAATAAATATAATCATATATAAAATAAAAAATTTTCATATAGGTTTGCAAAATATTTTATGACAAAATACTTTTTATTTGTAATTTCATATCGAAATTTCAACCAACACTAGCGTTACTATCGTACTTCATCTGAATCGATAACTGATGATAATATAACATAAAAAGGGAATCAAATTCTCGAATTCTCGTTCTAAAAGAAATGCAAATTCTTTTTATCTTTTTAGATTTTATTTATTTTTATTAGATAAAAATCATTATTAAAATCATTCTTTTTCGTATCAACTACCTTTCTCTAGACAGATAGCGGCACTTGTACTCCAAAACGACCGCACTGTTTAAACTGAAAATATTTGAATCTCCATAAAAATATCTATCATTTGCAACGCTGTTTGTTACGAACAAACAAAATTTCTTTATCATATTCGAACAATCCCAATTTTTTCTTTTCTTTCTTTTTTTTTTTTTTTTTTACGTCTTAATACATATCACGCTATATACTCGAGAAATCAAAGAAATCAATAAATGCCTAAAATTAGAAAGCATCGTGAAAGAAAATTGACCATATCCCCGTGCATCGAAATGCAATTTGCATAATGCCTCGAGTATGAAAGTAACTACAAACGCGCTTTAACCTATCTGATACTTATGTTAATGGGCACATCGGTCGAGGACCTAGCTAATGACAAGCAGTGGCGATTATCTCGATGAGTCGTGGCTAAGACGGGATTTCTTTGTACACAACGGTGCTGGCTTTTGCTCTTTGTTATAACGCAAAAACATTTTTGCATCGCGTTACAGGAGTTGAGTGGAGTGTCGTGTACAGAAATCATGAGACATTTTACGTCACGAGATTTGCAATTAACGTGGCGTTAAGATATGACACGAGTGAGCATAGTAAATAAATGGAAGTTTTTGCTAAATATTTCTTTTCGCGATTTTAAAATTGCTTAGCTTAACAAACCAAATCTTATCGTATACTCTATAAATACATTATCGCATTCGAAACACATTTAAGATACATTTTTATCTTATGCATTTACATTTCGTATAAAAAATATTTCCAATTATATACTCGAAAATCGATCTCAACTCGACACTTTCTCTCAACACGCTCCACGTATATTTTTCGTTGCAATCAGACCAATTAGAATCCAGCGAATTCTTCGATCGCAAGGATGGAAGATTGTTCGAACTCGAACAAAATTTCCTATATCACAGAATCGAAATTTTTCGAATCATCCGAAAATGGATTGAGAAACACTGCTCGATCGGTGTCTCACTGCCAACCCCTTTTCTCCATCCATCCATCCGTCCATCCACCATCGATATCAAACGAACGTGAAAAAAGGTACGGTAAATCTCCCACGTTTACCACGAATCGTTCAAACCGAACCTATTTCGCCTCTCACGCGGGGAAGAAACACCAAGAAAATCAAGCTTCATACACACACACACACACACACACACACATTGTATATCTATACGTTGTCCGATAGCTTGGCAAAGTCTCGTGGCAAAGAGGAAAGTCTCCGGCTAACGAGGGAGCCAAGAACAGCTTACTTGGCGGAGGCAGACCATTTTCGAAAGTTCGCCGAGTTGTGTAACAAACTTTACTCAGGATTGGTTGCCCGAAGGGACAAGGGTGGGGTTAGAAACGACAGAGAGAGAGAGAGAGAGAGGCACGGATCGTGCGAAACAGAGAGAGGAAGAGAGAGAAGGAAAGAGAGATATACATAGAAGGTTCTCGAGAGGAGGAAAACGGAGCAAAGCGAGAAAGCGGCGAGAACGAGGTGAAAGGAGACGACAGAGGCTCGTAACCGGTATGGCGAAGCAGAGGAGGG